AGCTCTTGCTGCAGCTCTTGCTGCAGCTCTTGCTGCAGCTCTTGCTGCAGCTCTTGCTGCAGCTCTTGCTGCAGCTCTTGCTGCTACTGCAGCTCTTGCTGCAGCTCTTGCTGCAGCTCTTGCTGCAGCTCTTGCTGCAGCTCTTGCTGCAGCTCTTGCTGCAGCTCTTGCTGCAGCTGCTGCTGCAGCTCTTGCTGCAGCTGCTGCTGCTTCTGCAGCAGCTGCAAGAAGAAGATCTGTACAAGTTTTTTGATTCATTGAGTTAATTTGTGAAGTTTGCCACTACAGAAAAAATTATTTTGCTTCCTGGCATTTGCAGCAGCACGAAGCCCTTCAGCAGCAGCAGCAAAACAGCAGCAAGAGGAAACAAAAAAGAGACAACTGGAAACAAATTGAATAAATAGAAACTAAACAAATTACAAAAACTGCCACTAGGAGACTCTGCCGCTGCTGCTGCTGCTGCTGCTGCTGCTGCTGCTGCTGCTCTCTCCTGCGTCAAGTTGCTGCAGCCGCCGCAGCGCCTGAGCCCACCTGCAGCAGTAACAGCAGCAGCAGCAGCAAAAGGTGCAGCAGCAGCAGCAGCAAGCGCAGCAGCTGCAGCAGCAGCAGTAGCAGCAATGCTAAAGGCTACAGCCAGCAGCAGGAGAAAGGAGCAGCAAATTCTAACAAGTGTTTTTTGAATTAATTAAATTAAATTTACTTTTTAAATTTAATTTGTTTTTGTTTAATTCAATTTAACTTAACTAATTTAATTTAATTTAATTTAATTTAATTTAATTTAATTTGATTTAATTCAGCTTAATTTAATCCAATTTAATCAAAAAGAATTTAATTTATTAAAATAAAATTTATTTATTTTAATTAAATGGAAATTAATTGAATAAATTTTACTTCATTTAAATACATAAAACAAAATAATTAATTTTTAAAAATAATTTAATTTGATTTATTTTAATGAAATAAATAAAATAATAATTTAACAAAACGTAATACTGAGATATTGCAATGTAATAAAATATTGTTTTAAAATTAAATTAAATCAAACTAAATTTAAAATGCAATTAAATATTATTTTATAATTAAATTAAATTAAATTAAATTAAATGCAAGGCAGAAAGAAATGCAATAAATATTAATTCATTTTAAAAACAATAATGGAAAAGAAAAAGAAACTTTCGAGCCGACAAAACAACTAAACGAGGGTTTAGGGTTTAGGGTTTAGGGTTTAGGGTTTAGGGTTTAGGGTTTACTTGTAGACTTTGTGGATGGGTTTGAAGTCAAAATCAATCAAATGGACTTTTTGGTAGCCGCGGCAAAACCCCAAAGAGTCCATTTCAGCAAAACCCTCTTGCTGCATGCGCTGCTGCAGCTGCGGCAGCTCTACACACAGCAGCAGCAGCAGCAGCAGCAGCAGCAGCAGCAGCAGCGGCAGCAGCAGCAGCAGCAGCAGCAGCAGCGAAAAGGAAGGCAGATAAACGTGGAGCTGAGGAGCTCGCTGCTGCGGTGTCTGTACAGCTCGGAGCAGCAGCACTGAATAGACTTTGAATTTAAATTAAAATAAATTAAATTAATTAAATTAAATTAAATTAAATTAAATTAAATTAAATCTTTTAATTCTTTAATTGCTGCTCACCTCCCCAAACCAGCAGCAGACGCAGCAGCACGCTCACGTCCATTGCTGCGCGCCCCAGCAGAAAGCGGCAGAGCCACTGGATTGCTGCTGCTTCTGCTTCTCTCATTTTGCTGCTGCTGCTGCTGCTGCTGCTGCTGCAGCTGCTGCAGCTGCTGCAGCTGCTGCTGCTGCTGCTGCTGCTGCTGCTGCTGCAGTTTGGCTTTATATTCAACTTGAATTCGGGTTGGCAATTCGGTAGCCGCTGCCCGCTGCAGATTACACGCTGCCAGCCAGCGCGTTTGCTGCGCTGCTGCTGCTGCTGCTGCTGCTGCTGCTGCTGCTGTTGCTGCTGCTGCTGCTGCTGCAGCAGCTGGAGCAGTTCGATTCCCACTGCAGCAGCAAAGAGAGGAAAGCAAAAAGACATAAATATAAATAAAAATGCAAATTAAAGAAATTATTATTTATATTATTTAAAAATAAATATATATTTATATTTACTTTGAAGTAAATAAAATAAAAGTGTCATTTAAACAAACAAAACAAGAAGCAGCAAAAGTGTATTTCCCAAACTTTTATTATTTTCAATTTATTCTGCATTATATTATAAATTCATTTACTCTTTTTGTGCTGCTGCTGCTGCTGCCGCGCAGCAGCAGCAGCAGCAGCAAAGCTGCTGTGGTGTACAGACACCTTGGAGAACGCCTGAAGCAGCAAATGCAAAAGCCAAAAAGAAAAATTAAATTAAATTAAATTAAATTAAATTAAATTAAATTAAATTAAATTAAATTAAATTAAAATAAAAGTAATAATTAAATTAAATTAAATTAAATTAAAAATAATTATTTAATTTATAATAAATTAAATTAAATTCGCTGAACTTGCTGCTGCTGCCAGCAGCAGCAAAGCGCCGCAGCAGCAGCAAACTGGCCGCTCGAGGAAAGGATGAAATAAATAAAAAGAAAATAAAAATAAATAAATAAATAATTTAAATAAATAAATAAATAAATAAATAAATAAATAAATAAATAAATAAATAAATAATTTATTTATTTATTTATTTATTTATTTATTTATTTAAATTATTTACTTCCAAATAGTTGTCCAAGTTTAGCCAGCAGCAGCAGCAAAGAGGCCTTAGGGAGCAGCAGGATGAATTGCTTCGCGGCTCTGCTGCTGCTGCTGCTGCTGCTGCTGAAGGCTTTGCTGCTGCTGCTGCTGCTGCTGCTGCTGCATCTCCGTTCCGCGGCCGCCCTGCTGCTGCTGCCCGCCGAGCTGCTGCTGCTGCTGCTGCTCTCTTTCTCCAAAGTTTTCTTGCTAGAGGAACCCCTGCTGCTGCTGCTGCTCTCGATCTCACAGCCTGCTGCTGCTGCTGCCGCTGCTGCTGCTGCCGCTGCTGCTGCTGCTGCTGCTGCTGCTGCTGCTGCTGCTGCTGCACAAGCTGCGTCAGGAGCTGCAGCGCAATCTCGTGCTGCCCTGCTGCTAGGGCCTGCAGCTGCAGCACAGCAGCAAACAGCCGCCAATGCTGCTGCAGCACATGAGCAACAACAGGCAGCAAATCAACAGCGCCAGCACCTGCTGCTGCTGCTGCTGTTGCTTCTGCTGCTCCTCCTGCTGCAGCAGGTGCTGCTGCTGCTGCTGCCTTTGCTGCTGCTTCTGCTGGCTGCAGCAACGCTGCTTGGGGAGGAGGCGGCAGCACCAAGAGACCTTGTGCTGCTGCCTCTGCTGGTGCTGCTGCTGCTGCTGCTGCTGGTGCTGCTGCTGCTGCTTCTCCGTCTATGAAGACGCGGAGATTGTTCTGCGGCTGCTGCTGCAGCTGCTGCAGCTGCTGCAGCAGCAAATCCATATTGTCAATGCCAGCAAAAAACAACTCGGGCTCGTATCCAGAGCAAACAAACTCCGGCTGCTGCTGCTGTTCGTGCTGCTGCTGCTGCTGCTGCTGCTGCTGCTGCTGCTTGTGCTGCTGCAGTTTGTACTGCTGCTGCAGCTGAAATCTGCTTCGCATTCCCTCGGGCGTTTCCTTAAGGCCACATTTTGGCTTCACTTCCACACAGATGTAACGCACACCTGCTGCTGCTGCTGCTGCTGCTGCTGCTGCTGCTGGCGCTGCTGCTGCTGCTTGTGGCGCTGCTGCTGCTGCTGCTGGTGTTGCTGCTGCTGCTTCTGGCGCTGATGTTGCTGTTGCTGGCGCTGCTGGCTCTGTAGCTGCTGGTGCTGCTGGCTCTGCTGCTGCTGCTGCTGCTGCGTTGCTGCCGGTTGCTGCTCCTGTTTGCTGCAGCAGCTGCTGCAGTGCCTTTGGAAGGTTTATAAAGTTTGTCTCCACAGAAAAGGAGACGCAGCTGCTGCAGCAGCAAATGCCTGGACGCACAGCATCTGCTGCTGCTGCTGCTGCTGCTGCTGCTGGCGCGGCATCCGCTGTTGCTGCTGCTGCCGTTTCGGCTGCTGCTGCTGCCGCTCCGGCTGCTGCTCCTGCTGCTGGCTTCGTCGCTGCTGCTGCTGCTGCTTCTGCTACAGCTGATGCTGCAGCAGTTGCAGCAGCAGCAGCTGCTGCTGCTGCTTCTGCTGCGTCCTTGCTGCTGTGCTGCTGCTGCAGTCTGCATGCACTTGCTTCAGGTGTACGTACACCGCGAGTTGCCTTCGCCCAGAGCCTTTTGCTGCAGCTCGGGCAGACACCGTGGGGTGTATGCTGAGCTGCTGCTGCTGCTGCTGCTGCTGCATTTGCTGCTGCTGTTTCATTTGCTTCTTTTATTTCATTCCTTTCTTTTATTCCTTTTGCTGCTGCTGCTGCAGTCGCTTTCCAGAAGCCCCTTTTGCTGGTGTGGCTCATGTCGCTGCTGCTGCTGCGGTCAGCTGCTGCTGCTGCTGCTGCTGCTGCTGCTGCTGTTGCTGCTGCTGCTGCTGCATCAGGCGTTGATGAGCCACGCTGCCGCATGCACCCAACAGGCAGTGCGCAGCCAAATGCACCCTCTGCAGCAGCAGCAGCAGTTGCTGCTGCTGCTGCTGCTGCTGCTGCTGTTGCTGCTGCTTCTGGTGCTGAGGCTGCTTCGGCTGCTGCTGCGAGCGGCGTGCCCGCTGCTGCTGCAAGCTTGTCAGCTGCAGCATCCTCTGCTGCTGCTGCTTGTCTTGTGTCTGCTGCTGCTGCTGCTGCTGCTGCTGCAGACAGGGGCAGCTGCTGCAGCAGCAATTTGGATGCGCAGAATAACCTGGGGGTCTCCACATACTGCAGCGGCAGCCCAAAGAAAGTAATTCTGTCTGCAGGTTCATTTGCTGCTGCTGCTGCTGCTGCTGCTGCTGCTGCTGCTGCTGCTGTCTTTGCTGCTGCTGCTGCTGCTTCCTTAAATTTGATAGGCCCACAGCAGCTTCTCCCGCCTTCTTCCTTTTGCTTCCAGAC